AGCCCCTAAAGTTCAGTTTTAATTACCAACTGTTGAGCATTTCCTATGTGCCACACACTGCTGAACACTTGATCTAAATACTATAACGTAAATGCCACTGTTGTCCACATATAAACAGATGATCTCAAACTTTCCCTAACTTTAAGACAGTTACTAGGATATATTGCAGTTAAGGCAAGATACATTATATTGGTAATTCTCTCTTGACACCTGTTCCTCAGTGACATCTTACCAAGTTGTCACTTACATTCTACACCTCGATTCATTCATTATTTGTTCATTCAACAAATACTCAAGTGGCTACTATATGTCAGTCATTGTTCTTGGCACAAAGAATAGAGCAGTGAACAAAATAATCTGTTCTCATGGAGCATTCATTCTATAAATTGAATGAATTTGGCAATCCAAAATCCCTTAAAATATGTAACATTTTTGCACATTGCTTTTCTAAATATGCACCAAAAGTATTATACAAAATTACCTGTGGGCTTTGTATAGAAAGTATACATAAGGGCCAGAGAAATAGCTCAGCGGCTTAAGTGCCTGCCTGGCAAGCACAAGATCCTGAATTCAATCCCTAGTACCAAAAATAGAAAAGTATATGTGAAACACTAATAAAGTTTGCATTACATTTGGGTCCCCTCTCCAAGACATTTCATCATATATTTGCAAATATTCTTAAAATCCAAAAAGCTTGTCCCAAACATTTCAGATAACAAATATGTTCCCTGCAACTGGGGGGTAAGTGGTAATATATAATAGATCAGATAATGGTGCTATGAAGGAAAATAAAACTACACAAAGAAAAAAAATAAAGTCAGAGAAGGCAGTGTCTGTTTTATGTAGGAGTGAATGGAGAGAAGCAGTAAGCTCCTGAAAAAAGGCTTGTCTGTGAGGGCATTGCAGGAGCAGCAATGTTAAGATGACAATATGCATGATATTTAAGTAGAGAAAAGGAATCAAGGATGTTAATTCATCCAAGGATGAACATCTGTATTCAACTAATATTTTTAAATATTTATAAGGTATTTTTTGGACTGCAATTAGGACACACCAGGTTAGTCTTAGCTAAGCTACTGTATCCTGTATCCCCAGGCTACTAGCTATTAAAAACCAAGGTCTTTCTAACCTGGCTTACCCTCTTTTTCCAGCATAAGAAGACTGTGTGCCATAGGAACTCCTCATTTCTCAGTCTGAGAGTTCCTCAATGATTGCTTCTTAGCCAATCTGCCCATTATATTTTGGGAATTTAAAAATTATTCTGAGAAAGGCTGACCATATAGCTCAGCAGATTTAAGCACCTGCTTAGGCAGACATAGAAACCAGGGTGAAGCTCAAAAACAGGAAGCTATGTAAAAGAAATGAGGTCATGAATTTGTGTTACTCCATTATGTGAAATTCTATTTTTTTTTTTGGCGGAACTGGGGATTGAACTCAGGCCCTTGCGCTTGCCAGGGAAGCGCTTATTCCACTGAGCCATCTCCCTGGCCCCTCCATTATGTGAAATTCTAGAAATGGTAAAATAAATACATCACAGAAGAAAGCAGATTAATGGTTGCTGGAAACGGTGCAGAATCTCCACAAAGAGACTTGAGGAAACTTTGGGGTGATACAAGCATTCTGCATCTTGACTGAAATGGACACATGGGTGTTTACATTGTTAAAACTCACCAAACAGTGCTTAAAATGGGCACCTATTATGTATTTAAATTAAAGCTCAATATAGTGGATTAATGCAAGAAAAAGGGTAGGCCATAAACATTTTAATTTTTCAAATTGCTCTTATTAATAAAAAAGTTGGTCAGTGTGACAAAGCTAATTAAGAACTCAGAATAATTTTTTTTTAATGTATTTAGTACAAGGTCTACAGGGTCTCACTATACAGATCAGACTCGTAGTGATTCTCCTGTTTTCAGCCTCCCAAGTGCTGGAATTACAGGCATGTGCCACCATGCCCAGTCTTGTTCGCTGTCTCAGCACGCAGGGCTGGCACAGCACACTGGGGATCGATCTCCAGTCCCTGTATCTGCATGAGCAGGCACTTTAATCTGCTGAGCTATGAGCTATCTGGCTGGACCTTTAAAAAAAAAACTTCAATCTTTCATGAGAAATGTTTTTTCTTTCTAGACTTTATTGAAGCTAGAAGAGCTACATTGAGATCTCAAGTTACTTGACCTTGAAGTTGTGCATTTAGGCACTTTTTGCCCTCCAGAGTCACACCCCCCATGATATATGTTACTTCCTCATTGTCTAAATCTTTAATCACTAGCATTCTTGTTCCATTTTGCTTTACTATTTATTTAGCTCCCTGTTCTTTTACAGTTTTGTTTAATTCTTTATAGGGCAAAAATGTTTTAGATACCTTCCCTGTTGACCATGTGTATACCTAGAGATTGCACCAAAAATATAAATGGCATTGATAAATTTCTATACAGTAACTTCAAAGCAACTTGCTTACAAAATTTTCAAAACACAACTGGAATATAATTTGAGAATTCATAATAGCTTACTGGACATGAGAACTATGTAGTCCAAGGCTATTTAGGTGTTTTGGTTTGATTTGGTTGTAAGTAAATCTAGGAAAATGCATTTATTACCTGCATTTATTACCTGATAGTTTTATTATTTTGCAACCACAAGTGGGTGTCTCTCACATATTATACAGCTAGATGATAATGTAATACATCATATTATAGTTCTAGAAGTCAAATATTTGCTTCTATGCTATTCAATTAAAACATGTTTGTAATTAAAAGTTATTGTACATACATAATACCACATTTGTATCAGCTGAAATTAGTATTTCCAGTAATGTTATGAAGCATCATTAAAACATGACTGAAGATTCATTTCTATTAAGATAACTATATGGGACTGGAGATATAGCTCAGTAGTACTGAGTATAGATCTCTGTTTTCTTTTGTAAGTTTCATTCCCCAACCATATTGAAACGCTTTATGCCATGGCACATATATTCACTATATATGGTGTACTGGTTAGATAATTTAACTCATCTGCTAATTACTAGACTTTGTTTGACTCCATAATGTGTTCTAAACTTAGGTTAAAGGTTAAATATCTTTGGGGTTCCCACTTAACAGTCATAGCAAAAACAATATACTGGCATCCTCTTATTAGCTAATGCCATGATTTCTTTATTATATGTAGGCAGCTGGATAGAGAAAAGTTCTCAGGTTCCACACAACTGCCTCTTCAGTGCCTATCCTACTATCAGGGCAAGGTGAGATTATGAAGCAGTACTTTCAGACTTTCATTTGAAATATAAATGACTAGAAATTCACAGCGATACATAGGAAAATAAGGCCTCTTCTGTTGAAATAGATGAAATACTGTATCTATGCCAAAGATAATTCATCTGGTTCTTTTTGTTGTTCTTTAGTATTTTGTGCATTCACAAGTGTTAGCTATATAAAAACTGATCTTTTAAAAGGCTGAGTCATCTAAATCTGACTTAGTATATTTACCTGTTGTTCTAACTAGACACTGCCTATTGTATTAAAAAACTTCCACGGAATCCCCACAAAGAAGAAATTATAGGAAATGGAGCACAACAATATGTTTATCTGAAAGATGGAGATGTGATTAAGACTGAGGGAGCCACTCTAAAGTAAGTAGCTGTCCTTTGGTGGGAAAAGGAGAAGGTCTAGTGTATATATTAAGAAGGGGGAAGGCAGATTTACAAACAAGTGAATTTCTTGTTTGTATGTGGGGAGAATGTCTCAGGAAGGAACCAAAAAACACTGATATGATTGAATACTCTAGGGAGGGAAAATGGATTGCTTGAGAAAACATAAAAGGAAGACTTTTTATTCTATATGACCTTTTTAATTATTTAACTCCTTCCAGTTTTTTACATGAGATTTATTTACTTAGCAATTTTACATAAGATTGTAAAATTAGGATGGTTTAGAAATCTATTCCTACTTTAATTCAGGGCTTTCCCACGTTGTCCCTTTCAAAAGATGATCTGTTCCTATAGTGAACAGGTGTTAGGCCAGGCCCTTAATCTCTTGTGAGCTGTTTAAGGAATTCAGAAAAGTATTTCAAATGCACTAATTTTCAGTCTGAACTAACTATGGTTCTCCTCTATCTCCTACAATCTACATGTGCTTTCTGATCTCAGATTATCTACCTTCCTCTGTACTTAGGACTTTACTTGTTCTTCTAAGATAGATGCTTCAAGATTACTTTTCATCATTTAACTGCTCTTTATCATTATCATTCACCCTCTCTTACCCCACATTTATTAAGGCTAATTTTTGTCTCAGAAACATTTGTCAGTGCTTTCTCTTCATGTCCATTACAGATACTTCCAGCTTAATTTTCCCATCTCGTCTTTCCCCTTTCTAGTCTACTGTGTAGACTCATACAGTCACTGAAAGCTTTGATGAATCTCACTGCCTACCAGATACTGTTTCTACTTCTTGATGTGCCATTCTGACCCAAGCCACATTTCTAGTCTTAGCACCCACTGTTTCTCTCACAAACAGCTATGTGTAAATATTTATAGTCATATTACTCATTTATTCATGCCTTTGCTTATATCTTCATTTTTTCTCAACATTATTCCTCCACCCCACACTCATCTCCTCATGGATTCCTATTCACTTATTTTTCAGAGCTTAGTTGATATTTTACTTATTTTGAGAATCTTTTCTGGGCAGAATAAACTGCATCACCCTCCCACTTTCATGTAACACTCAGTATTTCATTATTGCACTTATTAAATTATAACCTATCTGGAATCTCTCTAAAAGATAATCATCTCCTTATAGTTAATGCCTGTTAGCATAGTAAACCAAGGAAAGGCCTAATAGCTCAAACATGAAATAAGTTTATTTTTATCACATGAAGTCTAAAGTAAGTTATTAATTAGCAAGTGTCCCTCAAGTTGTTCATCAAGATAATAGTTAAGGCTCCTTCCATCTTATGTTTCCATCTGCCTGAGCATTTACCTTTCAAGGTTACCATGCTTTATTTTTTAAATAATTTTATTAAGAAACAAATAGCAATGAGACAGTTTCAAAACCAGTTAGTGGGACAGTTTCAATAATTAATACATTGCATATTGTTGTCTTCTTAGTAGTTATTCATAGTACAAGATGCAGATATGATATCCTGTCCACAAACACTATTAGAACAACTCTTTCTAGTCATTGAATTAAGAGAAAGTAGCTGTATATCTATCCTAACTATTTTGAATATATAGATACAGAATGGTTCTTCATTTGTATCCCCTTTTTTGTTTAGTTTTGTCAGAGATGGGTATTCCATTGCCATTTAAATATTGTAGGTGCATGAATTCAACCAACAGCAAATGTTGGAGAGGCTGTGGGGAAAAAGGAACCCTTCTCCACTGCTGGTGGGAATGTAGACTGGTATAACCATTATGGAAATCAGTGCAGAGACTCCTTAAAAAACTAGGACTGGAAATCCCATTCAAACCAGCTATCACCCTACTGGGAATTTTCCCAGAGAAACTGAAAACATCATATCATAGTGCTATATATGTACCTATGTTTATAGCAGCACAATTTGTGATAGCCAAATCTTGGAAACAACCAGGATGCCCATCACCTGAGGATTAGATGAAAAAGATGTAGTGTTTTTTACAATGGAGTATTTCTCAGCTATAAAGAATGATAAGCTTGAAGCTTTTATATTGAAGTGGATGCCACTTGAACATATACTCATAAGTGAAATAAACCAGACACACATGTGTAAATATCGTCAAGGGTACCATGCTTCAGTCAAACCAGAGTAGCTGACTGAGAAAGAGAAAACGAAATAATGAGTATCCATGTTAAAGGTTTGGGGATCATAGTGCTTTTTTGTCATGCTTCATCACAGAATTATGACTGTTAGATGTATAGCTAATTTTTCAAACTAAGAATATTCACCCTTGCTCTTGTTTTTACTCTTCAAAATAAAATTAAATTTTTAAAAAAGAATATTCATTCTTTAACTTCAGAATAACTGTGCTTTATTCTGATTAGAACATGTTACTATCACCAACATGAGCAGGACCACAATTTTTTAAACCTTTTATTACAGTGTAATATGTAAAGATAAAAGTGTAGTGAGGGCCTACAAGGGAATAAATTTAATACGGGACACAAAATTTTTAAGATTATTTTATAATATTCCAAAAGTCAAACGCAAAAGTGCAAGAAGTCTGCCCATGGCCTAAAGACCCAAAGAATTCACTGAGGGCCTGGATCTCACAGCAGGTCCTCAACAATTCCAGCTTAAGACCTAGAGCATGTGGCAATGTCCTTCATAAGGCCAGCTGAAGGCCTGGAGCCCATAGTAGTGTCTCATGCACATCCATATCAAGGATTTGTGCTGGGAAGGCCCAAAGGTCAGTGGTGAAAGCGAAAAAGTCTGCCAGTGGTGTGAAGGATCTGTGACAGCTGGTAAGGGATCTGCACTGGAGCTAGGCAGCAGTGCTCAAAATAATGACCAGAGGTCTGCCAAAGAGAACCAGCCATCTCCAGTGACTGAGGATCTGAGATCCCCCAACAATGAAAATGCTTGAGTTCATAGGAAAGACAGCATGACAAGCTTCTACAGAAGAATCAACAGCACACCATCTTCTCCAGTTCTCTTTCTGTATTTTCTACTGGCAACAATCCTCAGGTAGGCCTTCCACCCCCGAGCCACACCAATTCAGTTCAGCTGAGTGTTGCAAATTGACCATTAGTTGATCTACCACATGTGCCTATCATAAACATACACATAATGAATTTTTGCAAACTGAGTAGCACTCAGCCGAAGACAAGAGTATTAGCACCCCAAAAGTTCCTCCGCATGCTAACTTCCTATCACGGCCTCTCTTTAATTAAATACTATCTTAGATTCACAAAGCAGATTGATTCCAAGGATCTCAATATTGTATGAATTCTATTTAATATTTGTTGTGCTTCATTCTGATTCATTTTAATTAGGACAAATTAAAAATGGAAATGTTTTTAAAATTAGAGGGAAACTAACCCAGAAAATAAAAAAAAAAAAACATCCACAATTCTAAAAAATGACAGTTGGTCAATAATCTTTTCTTAAAATATAATTTCTAATTATAGTAAAACATTTTGTTTCCTGAAGGCATTCATTTCAGTTTTCCATTTCTATGAAGTCAGTTAACTCAAGTTTTTTCAGTGTTTACCTACAGATTTGTTGATAAGCAAAAGTTACATAAATAAAAAGTTAAAATCTGCTTAAAAGTCTTCAGGGGCCAGCCAAACAGTTCAACAGATTAAAGCACCTGCAAGCAGGCACAGGGACTAGGGGTTCAATCCCTGGGCCTGCCATGCCGGCCCCATCCACAGGGCGCGCTGAGAGAGGATTAAGACTGAGAGTGGTAGTGCATGCCTATAATCCCAGCTCTTAGGAGACTGTAAACAGGCGGATCACTATGAGTCTGATCTAGTAGTGAGACCCTGAACACCCTGTAGACCCTTCCCTAAAATACAAAAAAAAGTCTTCAAGTATTTGTTGTCAAATATTCATTGTCTAGTTGATATTTCTTACTTGTAAACTTTGAAAGAAAAAAAGGCAAAATATAATAGAGACAGAGGTAAGAACACTAAAAAATACTTAATAGTAAACAGTAGAAATCTAAAAAGACTTTCTGGTAAGAATTTAATTCTGGCTATCATCTTCAGGAATTTTCTACAGATGTATAATTTCTTGAAGAAGACAGTCTCATAGCTTTTGCAAACTGTCCTGAATCTCTAAAAGAACGGTCCTAAGAAAATACAATACTACTCCAGACTGCGGCCATACTGATGAAGGGGAAGGCTATAACTGCATTTCTTCTGCTATTTACCAAAGCTCCTCTGATGTTATTTCCTTTTTGCTCCTGTTCATGTGACCTGAATTTTAACAGTGTTACACAGATTAAAGCATCAGCCACCCAGGTGATGAGAAAATTGAAATTTATGATCTGCCTAGTATAAGCTATCTTACTGCCTGATATGTTATCCTGTTTCTGTCTTTGTTTCTACTATTTGTTTTTGCTTTTAACACTACAAAATAAAATAAAGCTTTGAATAACAAAAAAAGAAAAAGAACAGCCAAAGATAAACCATTCCCATGTTCTGAAGTGGCAATGGTTAAGGAAGAATAAAGGCAGTATTGCAATCATATTGACATACTAGACATGTGGGCTGAAACCAAATGGCTCTCCAAATCAGTTTTTATAGATTAAAAATAAAAGAGGCTAGAGATACAACTCAGTGTTACAGTGTTTGGAACTTCAGGAATACTTGCACACAGAGACATGTGCCCACACATAAATCGGTGGTTAATACATTTTGTTCATTAAAAAAAATGACACATGTCCAAAAAACAGATGCATAATTTTGTATGGACTAGAATAATACCTCCTGTAATTACTTTTATATAATGCTAACTTTTATTAACAGGTAGCTACAGGTTTAATCAGACAAAAGAAATTTTTTCAAACATCTCTTTAATACCTCACACGTGGAGCAATTATGTAAAGTAATTGTTTGTAATATATAAAGCATACACTTGAAAATCATAAAAACATAGTTCTTAATGTCAGGCACTGGCTTTTCAAAAATAATTTCTCCCATTACAGTAGTGTTTCATGTTCTTTTACTTTATATAAATTACATTTTAAGCAGAGTTTTTAAAAACTATAGTTTCACTGACATTAAAAATGTAAGGGGGGCGAAAAAATGTAATTAAAAATAGGATTAATTTTATTTTTGGCAAAGGAAAAACTCTTAAGTTACAGTTATCTAAAGTCTCTCGGGCCGGGGAGATGGCCCAGTGGAATAAGTGTTTCCCCTGGCAAGCGCAAGGGCCTGAGTTCAATCCCTGGTTCCACAAAAAAAAAAAAAATTTAAAAAAAAAATAAAGTCTCTCAAATTCTACTAAAAGTTGTCAGATTTCTTTTAGAAGTCCAGGAAGATGAACTTACTAGTTTTTCCCATAATTTTATCATCTTCAGATTTTTTTTTAAAATGTGTTTAGTACAGGGTCTATAGGGTCTCGCTGTGTAGATTGGACGCATAGTGATCCTCCTGTTTTCAGCCTCCCAAGCACTGGAATTACAGGCAGGCTCTACCATGCCCAGTCTCAATCACCATCTCAGTGCGCCTCAAGGATGGGACCGGCACGGCATGCTGGGGATCAAACCCTGGCCATGCGCTCTGCCTAAGCAGGTGCTTTAATCCACTGAGCTATCTGGCCTGCCCTCAGATATTTTATAATATTGGAACACTTGTGTTTTTTAAATTTTATTTGCTTTTGATATTACTATTTTTCTATATATTTTATTCTATTTGTTAATAGTCTAGTCAGTCTTTTATGAAGGATTAGTGAAGTGTATAAGGCTCTCCAGAAAGATAGAATCTAAAAGGAGAGAGAGATGAAAAAAGAAAGGGGGCCTGGCAAGATAGCTCAGCAGTCTAAAGAGCCTGCTTAGGCAAGCTTAGGCAAATACCCTGGGACTGTAGTCCCAGCTCCACATGCCATGTCAGCCCTGCCCCCAGGGTGGGTTGAGCCAGCCACAAAAAGAAAAATGAGAGGCGTAGGTGGAAGGAGGGAAGGAATGAAGGAAGGGAGGGGTGGAAGGACAGAAGTAAGGGAGCTGGATGAGAAGCAGTTTATTCAATGATTACATTATGACCACTGTAGACACTTTCATTGCTGAGACAAAAACCCCCATAACATTGAAAGAGGCAAGATTTATTGTAGCTCACAGGTTAAGAGGTTTCCATTCACAGCTCACTAGCTCCCAGGCAGGGTGGCCTGGCCGAGGGGCACTGCAGAGGAGGAGCCCTTCATGCTGGGTAGAGGGCCGCAAAGAAGCAGCAGCAACAATAGGCAGCAGCACCAGGGGACTTACCTTCTGTATTTCCCTTTCATCTCTTTGAGGCTGTCTACCTTTTGGGTGGCGCCACCCACACCCAGGGTGGGCACCCTTAATCCCAGCCTCACATTCTTAATCCCAGTGTCACCAACCCTAATCCAGCAACCACCCCTAACCACTTGAGGCTTTGATGAGAAATCTAGACATAATGACAACATTACATACAGCTAAAACATGTAGTAAACTGTGCTTGCTTTTCCTTTCCTGCCTTCTCTGCTTTCATGCACCTAACAATTACTTTGTTTTACTTGAATAGTTTTCTGTACACTTAATGGTAATCATATAAACCTCTCCGTCAGTTTAAAGTATCAGGGATTCTCAGTTTCGTATTCCAGAAGAACCCTCCATCTTGCCTTCGGATTTCTGACTTGCTCTGACCAGTATGGACTGGCCTTCCCCCAGGTGTCCTGCTGCTGTCCTCAAGTGCCCATCATTTCACCTGGGCTTCCCTTTGCCTGTCTCCTGTGTCCCTTGGCCTGTTTCCTGTATTTCATAACTTTTGTGTACCCCCGCATTGGAAATCTATCTTCAAAAGCTTCCCAAGAAAGGGTTCATTTTTGAGACCTTTTGTGTCCAAACATGTCCTTTTAAAATCTATTTTGAGGGCTGGGGAGATGGCTCAGTAGAATAAGCACTTCCCTGGCAAGCACAAGGGTCTGAGTTCAATCCCTGATTCCACAAAATAAAATTAAATTAAAATAAAATCTATTTTGATGTAAGGTTTGCTGGCTGGGAAATAAGATACCATTAAATGAAAATCATAAGTTCTGGTATGCTGTTGATAGTAGTGTGACTATAGGTATGGCTATTTGGGAGCTCTTAGAGTATGAAGGAGGGGCTTTCGTAGGTTTTGAGCCCTCACCATATGGTAATCTAGATATACTATTTAGTTGGGAACTTCCAGGATTAGTACCTTTCTTCTTCAGCTGGTGAAATAACTTAGAAAAAAACTCTTCTACTTTTCATATCTAATGAAAGCCTGGCTGCCCGCATCATAGAAACTGAATGTTAAAAAGCAACTTGCGAATCTACCTATGTTGAACTAATTTTTTAATGTATTTTCACTCCTTAATCTGTGCCTGTGTTTTACGCTTTTTAAAGATTGAATCTCCAGAGGGCCCAGAAGATGGCTCAGTAGAATAAGAGCTTGCCTGGCAAGCGCAGGGGCCTGAGTTCAATCCCCAGTTCCACCAAAAAAAAAAAAAGATACAGTCTCCAATCCCAGCAATGAGAGAGAAATAACCAAGACATCAAGTTAGCTACCAGTAGGTACTGAGCACTGAGAATAGAATGTTGGGGGGGAGGGAAATAATAAGAGTCCTGCCTTTAGAAACTCGTAATTTGTGAGGTCAAATGGTAAACAATAATGTGATACCTATATAATAAAGTACAAGAGTAATATAGAAGAAAAAATGACCAGTATGAAAAATAAAGTTTTTATGTAGCTGAGAACCCAAGGAGTGCTTTGTGGGACAAATTATTTAGATTTGCCCTTTAACTGGCTTATTTTTGATAGTTATTTTTAAAAAAGTAATTCTTAAAAGAGTATCATGCTTTGAAAATATGATAATCAGTTTTGCCATGCTTTGAAATATTGTAATCAATTTTATCAACAAAAGAATTGGAAGAGAAAAAATAAAAACATACTAAATATCTTCTATAGGGCTGAAATCGATTTTCAAAGCTGCTTTATTTTTATTTTGTTTTGTATCAGATCAAGCACATTGCTGGGTCCACACTAGGCAAGCACATTCCCACTGAGCTACATCCCTAGCCTTTACATTTTTAACTACTAAGATAAAATATCATGCCAGCTTCTATGAAAAGCACGTATGTACTTTGAAAAATATTTTTGTTGTAAGAAAACATAAGTAAAAAGTCATATATTAAAGTAATAAAATTTTATTTTCAAAAGTATGCATAGAAAATTGTAAGTAATATAATTTGTAATAGAAATGATTGCTGATTTTTATCTCTTCAAGGTACTTTTTTATTTTCCAAAATTTTTTTTTCTTTCTTTTTGGCGGAACTGGGGATTGAACTCAGGCCCTTGCGCTTGCCAAGGAAGTGCTTATTCCACTGAGCCATCTACCCAGCTCTATTTTCCAGAATGTTTTAATGTGTGCTTGTTACTTAAAAAAAAAGCTAGAAAAATAATAACTTTATACTTGACAGTGAGATGTGATTCAGAGGAGAGAATTATCATTTTCATAAGCACAAGAAAAACGAGAGCTTTTTTTAACTTACTGGCATAATTTATTTGTATCTTCTCCAAATTAGAACAGAGAAAATTTTTCTTCTCAACACTTCTCCTATGCTTAAGAGTTCATACTTGCTTTTTTTCTTATTTCTTTTTTCAACCAGAGTTATATACACACCTGGCCACACTGATGATCATATGGCTTTACACTTAGAAGAAGAAAATGCCATTTTTTCTGGGGATTGCATCCTAGGGGAAGGGACAACTATATTTGAAGATCTTCATGATTATATGAACTCCTTAAACCTATTACTGAAAGTCAAAGCTGATATTATATATCCAGGTGGGCAGTTTTTTTTTTGTATTCTAGCAAACCATTCTTGTCAAATGATGAGGTTCGTTTTGGCGTGTGTGTATGTGTGTGAAATATGTATAAACTATTTTAAATTACACCCCTAAGTCTTTCCTAGTTATATAGTTAAATTTAAAGAGAAAGCTGAGAGTTTTATTAATAACCCTTTATACAGTGAATGAGTGAATGTAATTATGCACTGTAAAACATGTATTAATAAATTTTTTTAAAACATTGGATAAAACCTTTAGAAAACAACCTTTTATAAAGATAAGAGTTATTTTTTAATATCTACACAGCTGTTGATAGAGCTTTGAAGCAAAGGAAATAAACTTGCATCAGAATAGGAAAATATTTTCATTTCATAAGCTACCATTATTTTTGTTAACTTGCTTTCTATTGGAACCGCATTTTAGTGCTCTGTAACCGTAGGCAACATTTGACATCCGAATTTTGCTTTCTTAACTCTCAATATTGAAATACCCAGTTTCCATAACAACAACATAATGTTATTTTAATTTTCATTCTCCAGAAAAAGAAACTTGTTAGTATTTCAGACTACACTGCTCTACCATGTGAATCTACTCTCAATTTTAAAAACTAAGACACAGAACCCAATAAGAAGGCCCAGATAGAAAAGGGGTCTGGGCTACTTGATTGTCTCAGTATTTCTAAATTTGCTCCAAGCTGGGCATGGTGGTGCACACTGGAATCCCAATGTTCAGGAGGCTGAGGCAACAGAATTGCCGTGAGTTCAAGGTCAGCATGGGCTACATAGCTAATTCAGAGCCAACCTGAACTACATAGCAAGACCCTATAACCAAATTAGTACATACATACATACATAAATTAATTTGCTCCTAACCAAGCAACCATAGAAAAGGTCAGTTAAACATACCTCACTTCTGTCATGAATTCCTACTGCTGAGAGGATAGTAGTGCTGGGATTTAGATAGTTATAACATAAAAGGAATAAAAAACTGATGGCTCTTTTTAAACATAAGACAATAGATGTGCATTGGCCAATGAGAGGCTACCTACAGAAGGTACTTAACAGTGTTTGCATTAGTGAATCTAGTGAACTGGCTTATTAGCACAGCAGCTATTAAAATGTAAATTATGTCTCATAACCATCACTACCGTATATTCAAACCTGCTAATGTCATGTCCTGTGCAGAGGCCTTTATGCCATCATGCTCACACAAAAACTTTGAAGTAGGTAGTGGTATCCTCATTACATTATTGAAGGACTCGACTCAGACCAGACAGTTTCTTACACCCATACAACTAATTAGTGAGAGTCTAAATTCCAGAAATCTTTGTATGATACCTTGTTAGCCTGCTTCTGGATATTATATTCTCAAGAGAAAAATTCTTCTTGCAGATTTGTGTAATATGTTTGTTTATATTGTTTTAAAGAGTAAGGTGTATGTCGTTATAACATAATCTGAGTTGTCACATTTGTAAATTACTATCCTAGACATAACATTCTTAAAGTTCTACTATGGATCTTGTGAATTTATAATAGCTTTAGTCATGTACATGACACTGATTTTTGCTTTCTCCCTTTTTAGTTAAGTTTACCATAATGATTAAGAGCACAGATTGGCTAGAACAGGTAGGTCAGGCTGGATAGAGTGGCACACACCTATAATCCCAGCTGCTTAAGAGGCTGTGGCAGTAGGATCTCAAATTCTGTGCCAGCCGAGGCAACTTACCAATACCTTGTCTCAAAAAATAAAAAGGCTTGAGCTATAGCTCAGTAGTAAAGTGCCCCATACATTCCACCCCCAGTTAGACACAAAAAAAATGGAGAAAGTACTTAGTCAGAATCCCAGCTTCACCTCCTCTAAGATCATCTACTCTCTCTGTGCTTCAGTGTCTACTATAAAAAGGGAATAACAGCAGTACCTATCTCATAGGATTCTTACAAAAACATTGTATTTTAAACATGAAGAACTGTGCTTGGCACATAGTACTCTGTAAAACTCTGTAAATATTACCTATTATTGTAGTTACTGATTGCATTGATATTATTAAAATCTGTATTTTAATATAGACAATAGCTTGTTTTTTATTTTTCTGAGACAGGTCTTCCTATATAGTTCAGGCTGGCCTTGAAGTCACTATGTAGCCAAGACTGGCCTGGAACTTGCAGCAGTCCTCGTGCCTCAGCCTCCCAAATGCTGCGATTACAAGTGTACACCACCAGGACTTGCAATACAATAGTGTTTTATATAGATTTTATGTTTTATAGTTTTCTAAGGTTTTTGGCATTGTACATAAGCTTTAAATGTTATATATGTATAGCTTTCCAAATGAATGCATGTTTGTGTATTTAGTGTGCTTTTTAAAGTGCAGCATATGATTTATTTTTAAATAGAGTGAATTAACTTAGTACTTTATTATTTTATCTAGATAAATAAATTTGTATAGTTATTTCAATTCAGGTCATGGCCCAGTAATCAAAAATGCAGAAGCTGCAATTCAACAGTATATTGCTCACAGAAATTACCGAGAAGAACAAATTCTTCAATTCATTCGTGACAATTTTGAAAAATCGTTTACAAAAACGGAACTGGTAAAAACTCTTTATAAGGTAATTTTGACTTATCTTACTGGTGCAAGTCAACAAACTTATTAGAATAAGTAATTTACTCAGTAGTATGTGATTGTGCCTCATCCCAAATCAGAACACATCTGTCAGTATTTTACATCTGATGCCACCTGTCTAGAATTTAGACCAGCAGTCTCATCTTCTGTGATACTAAAGAAAATGCTGTCCATAGAAAACAAAAATAGCTATCGTGAGGCTTTCTTCAACTTTTAAGTACTTCACTATGCAGGAAAAGCTGCTTTACAAGTGCATATGTTATCCTAGCATCCTGGGTGTCCCAGGATGGGGATACCAGATGATTTGCTGGAGACAGATGCTGAGTTAATGGCAATGAGAAGTTGTAGCATTGCCTAAAAGGGAGAAAATAGCAAAGGACATGAGTAATTTCAAATAGAAGGAAAAAGCCTCACATCTTTGAGTGTAGCCTTTGAGCATACTACAGAACACTAGCATTATATAGTGCCAGTGTGACACTATGTCAGTGTTACTCAGTTTTTTAGCAAAAGTTTATTATACAGAAATTTAGAAACCTATAGTTTATTAGATATCTGCTGTTCTGACAGCAATAAATTCACAGTTAAGAATTTAGACTTTATAATAAGATTGCATGAGTTTAGAAAGTCCCACTACTTGGGCCAGCCAGATAGCTCAGCAGACTAAAGCACCTGCTTAGTCAAAGTGCAGTGGCCAGGGTTCAATCCCCAGCATGCCATGCAGGCCCCTGATACAGCGATTGAGACTGGGCATGGTGGCACACACCTGTAATCCCAGCACTTGGGAGGTAGAAAGCAGGAGAATCACTACAAATCTGAGATCTATGTAGTGAGACCCTATAGACCCTGCCCTAAAATTAAAAAAAAAAAAAAAAAAGTCCCACCACTGCAATTTGTTTAGCTATAAGTTAAGCAAGAGTGTTACTAATGGTAAGTTTAGAAAGGTCATATGGGACCATAATTCATAAAGGACTTCAGTGTCCCATAGGCCTTATTCATTAAGAAAAGTTAATTAGGGGCTAGGGAAGATAGCTCAGTAAAGTAAGTGATTGCCTGGCAAGCACAAGGTTCTGAGTTCAATCCCTGGTATCACCAAAAAAAAAAGTTAATTGTACCCAATATGCTTTGTTTTGAAAGAGGACAAATGGTTAAAACATGTGAAGATTAAAATGTCATTATGTGGAGTTAGAAATGTAACTCAGTAGTAGAGCAAATATTTGTCTAGCATACTTGGGGACTTTAGTTCCATCCACAACACCACAAAAAAAAAAAAAATATTGGCAAAAAGTAACGTAGCTGGCCTGGGGAGATAGCTTGGTGGTCTAAGCGCCTGTCTGGCAAGCTCAAGGACCCAGGTTCAATCCCCAGTACCACATACCATGCCGGCCCTGAAACTGGGTGTGGTTGTGCATGCCTATAATCTTAGTGCTGGGGAAGCTGACAGAGGAGGATCACTATGAGTCCAAGCTGTGTAGCAAGACTCTGTACTAAATAAATAAAATAAAAAGTAATGTAGCTGCTAATGGTGGCACAGGTCTGTAATCCCAGCACCTGAGAGGCTTGGAGCAGGATTGCTGCAAGCTCAAGACCAACCTGCACCACATAGTGAGTTCAAGGCCAACCTGAACTACATAGTTAGACCTGTCTCAAAACACGAAAACAAAGAGTAAATATTTAAATTTCATGAAACAACTCATAATACTAGAGCACTGGTACATCAGACATTTTTTTTCTAACCTGTGTACAGATACTAAAATTCTCATAACCCTCACACATGAACCATTAAGGAACTGCTCACACCTAGAAAAATGCAACATCTGAATTCAGAGGTATTCAGTATATGTTTAGAAGCGTGCAGACACCTGATGCATACCAAATAACAGTAGATATTCTAGACTTATTCATTAAGCATTTGTTGAATATTTTGATACAGAGGTGAGTACAGATCTCTGCCCCTAAAGGATTCATAGTTTAATGAAGACAGACATGTTCAACAGATGCTTGCAATAGAGGCTGTGTTCTATTAAGGTCCTTTTAGTGCACACATGTCTCTATGTCAAGTACTATCTTAAAAGGTTGCACATGTTAAACAACCTTAATGCACAGTGTTATGAAATCTGAACTGGTCCAAAATCTGAGATTACTTGAGCATATATTAAATGTTTCAGATTTTGGAGCATTTTAAATATTCAGATCTTTGGATTGGGGGTCTCTGACAAACTTGCTCCAAGTCCTATACCCAGTTTGTCAAAGCACGAAAATAGAAATAAATTCTACATAGCAAACGTGCAGGGAGTAAGATACTAAAAGCCTTTAGAAACTTACTCACTGAATTGAACCTTGAAGCAGCAGTAACTATTTTCTAGGTCAGAGTAAGAAAGAATGAAAGTTATTCTAGACAGCAGAGTGGATGTGTTTAAATACTAAGAATAATCCTTAGAAAGAGCACTGCATGTGTAGAAACTCAAACCATGTGTGACTAGCATGGTTGTACATTTGGATGGACAAAAAGGAATATGAGGTCAGAAAAGGAAGCCTGATCAGGTCACAGAACGTCTTCCCTCCCAGCTAAAACTGGGGGCTTTAGCCAATAACTCGGAAATGGTGATTTAAGGATCTTATCTTTCATCACATAACGAAAATCTAGAAAATCACAAATCCATAAATTCAGATTTGTACATCAGTGTCAGAGCTATGATGAGTTACTTAGCGAAAAGAGGACACATGGTACAGCTTCATGAACATTAATGTGTAAGAGAAGTATAAGGAAAATGAAGACTAGTAATAGGAAGAGTGGGATAAACAGGGAAAAGTGAGCTTCAAAAGGATTACAGGTGCTCTGGGACTGAAAAGAATCCATTAAAATTTAACTGAAGTAATTTGGTGATCTTGGCAAAATATTTCAGCCAAAAAGTGCAGACAGTGATTTTAGGCAAGAAGCTTGGCTTTAGAACTGTAACCCTTACTTAAAGATTAAAAGGAATATTTGCTGGTTTCTAATCAGATAATAGCAGCAGTGTTACACTATTTTAGTGAAACTGAAGGAAAATTGTGAGTCATGACGTATAAAAATAGCATGAGCTGGGCCTGGTGGCACATGCCTGTAATCCCAGCGCTTGGGAGACTGAGGCAGGAAGATCACCAGGAGTTTGAGGCCAGCCTACACCACACAGAGAGACCATGTCTCAAAAAAACTGAAAAAGTATTATGTAACTTAGTAAATAAACCATAGGGCAGCTATCAGTAAATAAATAAAGTTACATTTATTCATTTAGAAAATATTAATGGGTTACTGCTGTATACTGTTACGTTAAACATTGAAAGCACTGCTGTTGTCATGGAAATTAATCTACTTTATAAGAATATTTGACAATGTAGTGTCCTGACGCACAGCATTTACAAAATAAGAGGGGTTTTTTAGGTTTTTACTATTGTTAAAATATATTTAAGTTAACATTTTCTTCTTTGTTGTGTTTTATTTTCCTTTAAAGCTTTCAAAAATTAAGTTCATTTTTTAAAGAAATATTTTTCCTTTCACTCTCTTTTCTTTTAGAATGTTCCTGAGAATTTACATAAAATGGCTGAACGTAATCTTGAGCTTCATTTAAAAAAACTAGAAAAAGAAGGAAAAATATGTAAGTATATTTCCAAATTTAAATTCATTTACTACCAGCATGTGAAATGCAGGATGCACTAGTTTCCTATTAAGAAGAATAAGACCCATCAGAGTTCTCCCTTGAATATCACATTAAGGTGGACAGGCAAGCAGTGGGAAGGTTGGCCATATGAGGCCAGCGGACCACAGATTAGAGCTATAAACTCCCACAGGGTTTTTCCCAGAGGGTTCCAGTCACCCACCAGAATGATACTGAAAGGCAGGGCTTCTGTTCTCCCAGACCTCAAGATCTACCAGGAAAAAGTTCCACATATTAAAAGTTAGGGAATAGGTAGAGGTTTGAAACAGTGGTACACCACTGTGTACTCAAAAATACTAAAGCAGTAGTTCTTTAATATTTGCTAGGGTTGATTTGTCTAATAGTTTGCATGCACAGAAGATTGATCCTTAAAATGTTCTCAGCACTTAAATTTTGTATAGAAACTTCACCAATGTGTTTATATAAACACAAAAAAATTAACAGAATTAATTATACATTACAATGAACATATTTTAAGAATGAGTAATTTTTCTAGCCACAATATAACTTAAAATCCGGTGGATTTACTTACCTTTTCCTAAAGGCTGATTTTCTTTCCACAGTTAGCAACATGGACCCTGAGAAGAAATGGAGAGCTGTACTTTAGGTTCAGCATAATGAAAGCTTTGTTTGCCTTTTCCTTGAAGGATGGTATGCTTTCTCAGCTGTGGACTAATTATACATACTACAAAATGAGAGATTTCACAACTAACAGTAAATGTACAGGTGGACCCTTGACTTACAAACTCACATCATCTCGAGAGCTGAACTCAAATTAGTAGTAAGTCAAGACTTTTTTTCCCACAAAAAATAATAGAAATAACCATGATGTGTTCCTAGCCTCTCAAAGTACCCCGTAACTAACTTTTTCACAATAAAAATGAGTTGTATAATGTGCATAATTGACCAGAACACCAATAATTTTCCTGTGCATTCGCCAAAAAGTTATAAAATGTTTACCAAAAATAACAATTTCATACTGCACTTACCATTCAAGTTAACATCTATGACTTGCTTTGGGAGGATGATATAGAAAGTGATTCGTGTTGGGAAGGAGAGTCCCTTAGATAAGAACAGCAGGAATCTGTTCTCTGCTGTCCTTTCTGTCCTTGGAATAGGCTATAGCCATTAGGACCTGCATCTGGCTTACTAAGTCTCAATATTTTCATAACTAACAACTAGTCTAAGGTTGTCTACTTCTATCTTTTCTTTAACATTATTTTCTAGTATGTCATTAAGAAAGTGAATGCAACATTTGGATTTTCTCTGACTAGGTGTGTCTTCTCTACAAATGTTTGTAACTCTGTCCATTTTTTCTTTTTTTTTTTTTTAATGTATTTAGTACAGGGTCCACAGATTGGACTCGTAGTGAGCCTCCTGTTTTCTCCCTTCCAAGCGCTGGGATTACAGGTGTGCCCCCATGCCCAGTCTCAATCACTGTCTCAGTGCACCCCGGGGCCAGCACAGCATGCCTGGGATTGAACTCCTGGCCCCTGCATCTTCCTAAGCAGGCACTTTAGTCTGCTGAGCTGTCTGGCCCACCAAGCTGTCCATTTTTCCAAGACTTCCTTTATTTCAGAAGAACTTTGCTACACTAATTGTTATACTCCCTCTCCTCTTCAGAAAGTTCCCCAGCTGCCATTCTGTTGCTTAGCCAGAGTTGCTGAAGTTCCTCTGTAGACAGTTCCTCTGAGTGCTCCTCCTCAAGTTCCTCAACATCAAAATATTCCATCTCTCCCCTGTGTAATTTTAGGCCACACTTTTTTCCAGATAGATCTGAGGGTCCTTAGAGAGACATTGGCCCGGGATTTCTCAGTTAACCCACACAGGAAAGGATATTGTAATGTTCTTTCCAGAATTCTTTAAGGGTTAAATCTGTATCCAAGGCACAACCACTTCAGAAACAGTTCTGTAGTGTATAGCTTCTTGAAGTCATCTGTGACCTGCTGGTCCATAGATGCAGTAGAAGATTGGTATTAGGTGGGAGGAACTCAAATGAGAGCCATAGGAAATCTTCAGCCAATTCTTCCAAGCCTTATGAATAAGCAGAAGCATTGTCCATGAAGAGAGCCTTGAGTGGTGAGCCTTTGACCTTTAGATACTCTTAACAGTAGTAGGACAGAAAGCTTTCTGATCCACTCAAGAAAAAGTGCTCTTGTGACCCAGGCTTTTTCATTATATCTCCACATGACCCCTAGCCTATTCTTCATGGTTTTCTGTTTTCTGAATACTCTGGCAGTCTCAGTGATAAATCAAGAGAGGCTTTATCTTGAGGTCACTACTTTCATTGGCACATATTAATAAGGTTAGCCTATCCCTCATAGTCTTGTGGTCTGACATTTTCTTCTTTTCCTGGGTAATATATTTTGTTCCAGAAAAGGCCGGCTTTATCACAATTGAAAACTTGATGAGAGCAAAAGCTATTTCGCTGTCATTGTTTTGAAGTGGTGTATGTAATTTTCAGAAGCCATTTTATCAGCACTGGCTGCTTCACCATTCCTAGTTATGCTATGGACTCCAGTTCTTGCTTTAAAATTGTGAAGTCACCTCTTACTAGCTTGAGATGTTCTACCATCATCACTCATTGGTGGAATAACCTTTACAGAATCTGCAATTACAGCCCTAGCTTTTTCACAAGTCATAGACTCAGGCTGTAACCTGCCATTTGCCTTTTCCTTATCCACACATTTAATAATAGCCTTTCTATCTTATCTAGCACTGTTGGTTGTGACTTACTAATTTCAATAACACCTTTCACAACACTAGCTTCATTATACAAATCTTTTCTCTGCAAGATTGTCAACATGGTAGATTTCAACATGCTATTTAGCAAGATCAGTCATACCAATGCCAGTCATGTTTCTCCATAATTTCCTTTTTTATTGTGATAGCTTTCTTTACCTTCCTTTCTGCTCTTAGCTTCTTTTCTAGTTTTTTTAGGGCCCATTTTGGTAGCAGTAATCATAGAAATTATATAAATCACTCACTGAAATCACATCCACACACATGGGTATCTAGTCTAAGACTGGTGTTTATGTATGCTTTTCTGGCATCACAAGTCTTTGTTTACAACCTCACAGCTCTGGCATTTGGGTTGTAACTCAAGACCTTTTTCATAAGCTACCCCTGGGATTCCAGTCATAACTCAAACGTTCATATGGAGACCAAACTCAAGGGTCCACTGTGCTTTAAAACCATGTCATATTTTAAAAATAAGTAACTTATACATTTATAGTGTATTTTACAAAAAAAGTTCAGAATCTAGTAGTTTATTGATTTTATTTGAATTAAGTGAAATGATTACTTTAAAAATAACAAACTTTGTATAATTTACACCAGGTAGTACTCTTGAAGAGTACTGTAGTTATTATCAGTCATCACTAAATACTGTTTTATTTTCTTCAGCTCTCTATGTCTGGATAACAGCCTTGTTTTCATGTTTTACCAGTTAGGATTAAGCATTGGTTCTAGGATCATATATGTACTTTCATACTGATATCTCACAGTTGCTTATGTGTATCAATTGTGGATAAGTGAAAAATATTACATACTCAATTAAAAGTATTAAATGATGAATAATTATTTTTGTAATCTTCTTTTTTTCATTTTATGTATTTGGTACATAGTCTCACTACCCAGCTCAGACTCGCAGTGATCCTCCTGTTTATGGCCTCCCCATTGCTGGGATTATAGGTGCGTGCCACCACACCCAGACTTTGTGGCTATTCAGCTGCCTCTGAGGGTTGGCACGGCACGTGGGGCTGGGGATTGTAATCCATCATTGCAATCAACATATTTTCCAAGTTTAGATGTTACTATATAATTATCAGTCTATATATGAGTTATAAACCAAAAAGTCTTTTAAATTAGGTCATAAGATAAGGCTTTTTTAAATTTAAGTAGTATTATAAAATAATGATTATGTTCACAGTCTAGTTTAGCAATGCTTAATTAAATTTGTAAGGTCACCACATTTCAAAACTAAAATAAACTCAGAATCTGAAGAGTATTCTTTATTCTTCCCTAAAGGAAAGAATTACTTGTCTTTGACATGTCTTTATTGTCTTCCTCCATTTCCTGCCTCTTTTCCAAGGTTCCTAGCATCTTTGTTCCACTTCAATACGTGTATGCTCATGCCTGTTGTATACCACAGCTATTCTATATTACAAAGTGCCTATAAAATTTTTCAAAAATAATTCACAAGGGCAGGCCAAATAGCTCAGCAGATTAAAGCGCTTGCAAGTAGGCGCAGGGGCTGGGGGTTCAATCCCCAGGCCTGCTGTGCCAGCCCCACTGCCAGGGTGTGCTGAGATGGTGATTGAGACTGGGCATGGTGGCATGCACCTATAATCCCAGCTCTTGGGAGGCTGTAAACAGGCAGACCACTCGGAGTTGGATCTAGTAGTGAGACCTTGAACACCTTATAGACCCTTCCCTAAAAATACAGGAAAAAAAAAAAAAAGAAAGAAATAGTAGTGAAACCCTGAACACCCTGTAGACCCTTCCCTAAAATACAAAAAAAAAAAAAAAAAAAAAATCACAAATGGGCAAAAATTATGGACATTTCTCCAAAGAAGATAGGCAAATGGCCAGTAATCCCATGAAATAATATATGTGGCTTCTTTGACAGAATGGCCACATCTGCATCCAGGAAGGCTTTCCCTCTGGTAAGTGCGTCTATGTGCTTGCACATATGTACAGTTTCCTACCAGTATCTCAACCAATTTTAATATTAGCAGATAGGAATGTGTAAAAAAAGCTTTAAGGAAAAATGACATGTATAGGAAAGAATGCATTAGTATCTTTAGGTACTTGGCGGGTAACAGACTATGATGTGAGAATGTAGTTAGCAGTTTGAAGATTCCAGAAAATGCTCAGAGGAGTGAAAATTGGCTGAGAAATGCACAAAGCTTGCTCCGTTGTGTCTAAGCCTAGGATTGGTCTTAACCATGAAGATTTTTTTCTCTTCTTTCCTAGCCTAGTGCTCATTTCTTAATTATAATGAACTACTACTCCAGAAGTCATACCCTTAGGTTTGGTTTTGTTTGTGCAGTTTCACTAGTCAACCATTATCTGAAAATGTAAAATGAAAAATTCCTGAAATTGACCATAAGTTTTAGGGGGCATACCATTTTGAGCTGTGTTATATAATCTTTTGGTATTCCCCACCATCTCACCCTTGACACAAATCATCCCTTTGTACAGTATTTCCATGCCCGGTGTCCTACCTGCCCATCAATCACACACCATCTCAGTAATAGACAGTGACTGTGATCAAGTAACCCTTGAGTTTCAAAAGGCCTCAGTATGCATTAAGTGATACCACTGGCAATTCAGATATGCCAGAAAAACTATAAAATGTTCCATCTGTGACACTGTCAAGAAAGGAAAATAATTTCTTGCCAGTGTGGCTGTCATTATTTCTTTTTTTTTTCCAAAATTTAATTGATAAACAGATAGCAATGAGACAGTTTCAAATCAAATCGAAAGTACAGATTCAACAAATAACACACTGCATATATTCTTCTTAGTGGTTAATTGCTGTACAAGATGCGGACTTGAGATCCTATTTACAAACACCATTAGAACAAATCATTCTATTCATTAGGAGAATGCAAGTATATATCTATCCTAACCACTTTGAATACACAGATACAAAATGGACATTCATAGGCATACCCCATTTTTTCTAAGTTCCGTTATTGAATATTATAGGTGTGTAAACTCAGCAAAATATTCTAAAAGAGTACAGTAGCCCATAATAGTATTGGGTCTTCTGTTCAACTGGCAATGTCAGAAATTATTGACCTGAGTCCCCCACAGCTCAACATAACAGCATGGCTTTACTTCCTATATTTCGTCTTCATACTTTTCTACTGGATGGTTAAGACCAAGGTAAAGCAGGACCTGTGCAACAAGAGTTGTAGCTTTTTGGTCTGAGAAGGTCAGTGAAATGCCCTCAGGATTTATCCTGAGATCCTGTACCTCAGACTGTAGAACCTTTGTCAGTGCAGCCACGTGGATGAATCACGGCCATTGCTTGGCCAATGTGCTCTTTGTGAAAGCCTGAGAGAGTGTTTTCTCCCCATGTGACTTTCCTTAGGCACACTCTACGTCATCGATCACTTTCCTCTTTGGCCCCATAATCTTCTTGATCAGAAAATTTGGGACACTACCAAGGTACATGACGTTAAAGTACAAGTTCTCATATGTCCTGAGTCTTAATTGACCTTGGAAGGCTAGGGCCAAAATGTTGGCTTTCCTTGTAGCCCTCCTTTTTCTCTAATTTTGTTCTGCAAACTTAGGTTATCATTATTTCAAAGAGTAAAAAT